GCCGATATCAGGAAAATAACTGGGAGGAAGAGGTCCAACATCCTTGGACCCATTTGTTAGAGTTCTCTTTTTTATTGGGTTTTTTTTCTTTTATTTTTCCAGTTTTTTCGTTTTTTATTTCCCCCCTTCTCTCTCTGTTGTTTCCGGTCCCTTGGCAGGGGCTCGGAAATGGAAAAAGGGGAGGAGGAGGTTGGATTGGATAACTACCTCTTATTTTGTAAGTTAGTGGTCTGCATGAAGTAGGTGACCGAGTCAACAGGTAAATAGACCAACAATTCTCCGGCTTCATCTCTTAACCAGTTGTTAGTTAAGAATAAGAATAATTTGATTATTGATCACAAGATATTTTAGCTAGTAATTTATTCTTAGCTAAACCCCAATTTCATGTCATTGGATTAGCTGATTCATTGCTCAAGTTCCAGAATTGTAGGTGAGCCTAATAGATGTGAGTAACTAAAACAGAAATGGTCAGAGCCTGCATAAAATTGGTCGCTTGTTTCTCTCTAGAGGTCAACTTTGATTGAAAATTGACAAAATTGTAGCAATTGGATTGGAATAAATCACAGTAATGAGTAATTAGTGAAAGAACCATAAGAATCTGCAGTAACAAAATCTTGGAGGAAAGTTCAAAGAATTTGTACAAGACTGAAAATTAACATGAAGAAGCTATCTGCGCATAACATGACAATTAATAACTGGTCATATGCTTCTAATAAAATTTTTAACATGGCCGTTTTGGTTTTTAACTCAAATACATCTCACAGAACTTTCAAAACATAAGATGAGCAAAAAAGAACATTGAAATGGGCATTAAATCAAACACCAAATATGCAACCAGAAGCTAACCTTGATAAGCCCTCCACATATCAACAAACCCCCTCAACCCCTTCACCATCTTCCCCTTCCACTCGCCGGAATCCGGCCTCGGCCCCGTCAACGCTACACAACTATCCTCCTCCTTCAACCCAAGGTCCAAAACCCACAGCCCGTCGTCACCACTGAAAACCTCACTCATCGCTCTCAATGTCTCCTCCATTACCAACTTCCCATCTCTTTTCCCATCCTCAGACTCCACACAGCTCCCTCCACAGTTCACCATTATCCTCCCCCCTTTCCTCAGCCTCTGCTTCAACTTCACCCACGTCGATTTCTCTTGAAGCTCAGGTATCAAGCTCCCTTTACTGAACAAATCCACCAAAATCCCAGAAAACCCATTATCGGTCCCAGCGTCCAAAGCGTTTCCAATGTAGATAAACAGCCTGTTCTTCATTTGCCCCTCGAGCTTCTCGAGTCCGAAGAACTCCCTGCCGACGGATATAACAGCCGGGTCGAGCTCCCACCCGTGGATTTCAGAGTCAGGGTAGAAATGGAGGATCAGGCGGAGCGCGGATCACAGCTCCGAACCGAGGACAGGCGCGATGGGGCCCGCGGCGGGGAGGAATCGGGAGAGTGGCCGAAGACGTCGAAGTAGGTGCCTGTGAGGGTTTTGAGGAGGAAGGAGAGGGAGGTGCGATGTTTGCCATGGGAGTCAAGGGGAGCAGGGGGAGCGGCGAAGGGGCCTGTCCACGGTCCCTTCTGGAGACTCTAGAGACGCGGGGGATGTCGCGTTGTGGCGGGCAAGCGGAACTGGGCAAAGGGTCTTGACGTCTTCTCGCGGCGATGCCGCGTCTGCGGCGGAGGTTTTTGGCGGGAATGGAGGTTTGGAGGCCGTTTTGTTTGATGAGATGGGAAGATGAGGAGTGGATTGAGACTGAGGGCGTACATTTTTTTTTTCGAGGGGGGAAATTTGCACGGGGGTTGAGAAAGGAATAGGGTGAAGATTATGAAAATCATCAACAAAAGCAGGATATTTAAAACAAGATATTGCCTGAATAACACAATTGTAAAAAGATGAACTAGTTGTGCCAAAACGCAATAAAGTGGGTGATTGATTATGTTTCACTCCTACAATAAAAGATGAAAAAATAGATTATTTTCAAACAACATAAATTTACTTAGAAAAATATCGCAATTTCATAAAGTAAAATCATTCAATTTTTATAACTTAACAAATATGATCTTATAAACACTAGGACCCATCGAGGGGCTTCATTATCCTGACAGGACTGCTTTCGACAAATGTTACTTCTCTGAAAGAATGCAGAACGCATGATTGAGATCGAAATTGTCAATGGATAACAGTAACGGTGCACATTGCAAATAATATCTCCATCCTAAACATCATATAAACCCCACAATCATAAACCACTTTCAATGGTTTCAACTTCTCGATCTGGGAACTCTATATCTGGAAATTTAGGAGGAAGAGCAAAGGTAGGTTGCTCGCTAGCCTTTCCTTGATAAGCTAGACCCAACGCGTACCCCAGCGCTCTAGCGACGGGTACTGCAACTGCATTCCCAACTTGTATATACCTAGAAATATAAGGAAATAATACTATTATATTGAAACAAACTAAACAGACATCAAAGAAGAAGGAAACGAGGAAACTTGCAAAACCATGTGCATAAAAAACGATCTAATTACATTGCAAGTAATGGTACCATATTTCATCCGATAAATAAAACATGTTTACTATGTGGTCCCATGAGAGTATATGCATACAATTACTAACGCTCGATTGAATCTGCTCATTTGTCCCTATACCGCTGAATTTACTAGCAAGCTGAAGAGGTTGTCAAAAACGTGAAACACGGTTTAAGTAACAGATCCTTCTCCCTTTAAAGCATCATGACCCCCCCTTCCCGTAAGGCAACAAATGTATCTATGGAATATAGTTTATAACTTTGTGTGTGTGTGTGTGTGTGAGTACACATGTGAGAAATTTGGCGCTTAGGATCGAGCATGGCCGTCCTGTAACAAATGTATTATATGTATTCATCTTGTAGATTGTTCACTAGTCTTTATCAACAAACCTTTCAATATCATGGCAAGGCCTCTCTTGTATTTAGTTTCATAAGTCCATAAATTCTGACTAGCTAAGGGAGGATGAAGCCTGGTTAGAACACGCTGATATAACATTGTCAAACATTTTCATACAGCTTTGATCCATATGCCACCTTGTTCTAATGATGCGTTCTAGAAACTATTTCTAACATAAATATTGAATGATATGCTATATGTATATAAAGATAGTTGGTCAGTTACAACTTTTATGTTGATATGAATTCCATTATGCCCTCTCCTGTAAAAACCAGATTCTTCAATTTCTCTTTTGGATATCTTCTACATGTAATGAACTAACGATGGACTATTAGCTATCTTTAATTAGCTTGTGATTGAGTACAAATTGATATGAGGTTTTCCTTTCAGCTCTCTCCTGTTGAAGTCAGATTCCTCAATTTCTCTTTTGGGTCTCTTCTACATGTAATGAACTAATGATAGTTTATTTGCTTATCTTTAGCTAGCTTATGATTGAGTACATCTGTGATTTGGCAAAAGTGGAATGAGATTCCACTTTCTTATATTTGTTGTTGTTTTGCTTAGGAATTTTGTGAATGAACTTACATTTTGATATGTATAGATCTTCAGATGAACATTACATGGTTCCTTCTCAACTTTAGATGAATCTGACTGGAACATAAACAGCTTAAAGAGAACTAATTCTATGAAAGTATGGATTATGTTTCTATCAACTGAATTTAGCCTACTGTGGATCCTTGTAAAACTTCTAGTTGAATTGTAAAGATATTCATGTTGGAACAAAATTGTAAAATGTCAATTTTGAAAGCTTTTCATCTTGACAATTGCTATCTTGGGACAATGTAAAGTATAATTAACAAAACATTGGATCATAACCAAAGCATGAAATCTCTAAATCAAGATTTTTTCATGTCATAAAAGCAGAAAAGTTATCCAATTTAGCTAAAGAGTTCACCTTTCTTTTATGGGGCCACAAAGCTTATAGTGATCTGGAAAGCCTTGAAATCTTGCATTCTCCCTGACAGTCAACACACGATCTTGCACAGGGTGCAACACCGCCTGATATATTCAAGCGAATTAATCAAAATGCAATTCATCTATTCTAATAGTAAAATACATTATAGGATGTAAAAAGAAGCCAGATACATAAATTTTATCAACAAAAGAACCTGGTTATGAGGCTCTGCTCTTGTGACAACAGTTGCAATTGTTTCATCCCACCACAAGCGTCCGAAAGGCCTAAATAAAATTTTAATTTCTATAAATGCATGACTCAAGTATTAATGGAAATATGAGATAAACTTACTTTGAGGATTTTCCCTTCACAAAGGACAGGGCATAGTCTGGCACCTGGATCATAAAAACTGCTAAGATTATGCAAAATAATAAGAAACAAGAGAAAAATTCAAAGTATATACTACCAGTGGTTTTGTTATCAGGTCCAACTTTAACTCCAGGTAAGTTCCTAAAGTTTGCAGCCTGTGATACAAGTAGGAAAAAATGTGCAGCTGTTATATTTCAAGAGAGTTTGTATAGTTATAAAAGAAAAATGTTTGGAAAATTACCTTCATTTTTGGAATTTGACAAACACGAAGATAATCATCTGGTTTCAGTTTCAGAGGCCTATGGTCAAAAAGTTTTTCACATGATTTCTCACCTGTAAATGATGAGTTTAATAGCTTAGAAAATGGCAAGAGATGGAATCAGAGTTGCATCATTCTAATCCACATGTATCAATAGAAGAGAAAACTTATGTCCTGAGATCCCTACTACAGTAATTATGTAGCAGAGAACAGCACATCAGGTGTCAGCATTGGGGTCAAAATCGATATACAAGAATAGAAAGGTAATGTCAGCTTCAGTCACCATAAAACAAAGAAAACGTAAGCAATCTAGTTTTGGACAAAGAAATACTAACAACAAATGCAGAAATCAATAGCAAGCATACGGAAAAAACATATGGAAGTACGTGAATCAATCATAAGCAAGCAAGCAACTATAGCATCCACATATTCCATGATTACTAACAAATTAAAGACAAACCGCATAGCTATCACGTTATAATAACCTGAACAATTATGAAACATGGAAGCAAACAATAGAACAATAACAAAAGAAAATGCTGATGAAAAAAGAAAGTAAATAATGAAAGCGAACAAATTGAAGGTAGAGGAATGACAATGACAAGGGAACATCACTATGTACTAATTTTTATACCCTCTCGAGCCCGACGAATGAATCGTTGGAAGTTTGTTTTCGGAGGTTTCCCATACTCCATTTCATCTCTTTCTTCATCATTAGCAACCTGAATTAAGAATAAATGTTTGACTTAGGATGAACTAAAACATAAGACCTGTAAATAGTTTTCAAAGTACACATACTTTAGGCAGATCAGATATGGCATCTTCAAGGAACAAAGCTTTCTCCATGTGATAATCTTGAGTCTCCTTAAAGGGAACGACACTTAACTATAGGAGAGGGAAAAAAAATTAAAATCTTCACTATTAAACAGGAAATAATTTGTGATAACATCCTGCATAAGAAATTTCTAGTCTGGAAAGAACCTCAAATTCAGTTGGAATGACACCACGTGCGACGACTTGGTGGGTAGCCAAGGGAAACTGGGGCAATTTCTGTGAGGCAAATAAATGCTTTACTAATAATATAAATAATAACAAACTACTAATTCTAGCAATTGCAGAAGAAACAACAGCAATACAAACATTGGTTCGAAGAGCCCCCCATAGAAATGCTCTCAATCTGAATTGGGGAAGGCCAAAAGACCCAGCAGCCATAATCCCCAATCTTGTTTGGTAATCCATGGCAAGCAATTGGCTTAGCGCATATCGACCCAGGTATCCATCAGCAAACTTCAAAATGTCAACGACATTCTCCATGAGAACATACTTTGGTTTCAAGAAAGCCACAATTTGCATAAAAACTGTAAGCTGATAATTTTTAGGATCTTCAAGCGGAGCTTTCACATTCCTAAACCTATTAAATCCGCTAACTCCCTGACAAGGTGGGCCTCCACAGATGACATCTACCCTACCCTGCATATTGGTAAAGAGTTCAAAAATTTTTGAAGAGTTAAAAAGGATCTTTCAGATCTTCCTGGGGAATAAAAAGGTTAGATGAACTTACAGGCAAGGGTAAGATATTATTTTTATATCCAGTCCGAACAAACTCATGGATTCTCTCTTGACAATCACTGTGTTTCAAAACAAAAAGTAATCAAGGAACCATTAAAAGAACTCGTCTAATAGAATGAAAAAGTACCTCAAACCCGAAGCAGGCTCCCATGTATCGTCCTCAGGACCATAGCCCTTCCATCGGACCTATATCAGAAAATACTTTAAGAACATGAAAGAAACCTACGGAAATTTCAAGCAAACATGCATTTTTGTTAAATTAATTTGATTTAATAATTAATTAAGTAAATTACTTAAGAGACTTAATAATTAGGGTTAGATTTACCTATTTAATTAATATCAATTAATTTAATTATTAGAGTTTAATGTTAAAGGAGTATTTTTGTCCCTTTACTGCAGTCATTATCACAGTTAGGGGGTACATTGAAAATTTTTGAAAGTTTACAGAGCGTTTGTGAGACATCTTGAAGTCTAGAAGGGTTTAGTAGAATAGAAGTGTTCAGGAGGTATTGTGAAATTTACCCTTGAAATAGAGTCTGCGGATACACAACAAAGTTGTATATTTGCAAGTACTTACGCTCATGATTTTGTCTAGGAATCGGTTCTACTCGTATAGCAACAGGTAGATATAATAAAATTTAAAGAAAATGTGGGGTAAAAAAAGAACAGAAAACTAAATCTTGGTTCTTCATACCTTAAACTTCAGTCCCACCTCCTCCAGGTTTTCAGTTTTTCCGTAACATATCCCCACTATTTTCCCAACTTCAAACTCACCGGGAGATAGTGAACCTTCAGACTCTTCATCCTCATCATCTGACTTAACACCATCTTTATTAGGAGAGTTTTCGTCAAAAACATCAACGCTTTGACATAGTTTATACCACTCATGTAAGAGAGATAGGAAATCCTCGGCCATCTCATTCCGAACCTGTATCATGGATTGAAACAATAGAATTTAGCATAACATTTGAAAAATTGAATAAAATAAATAAACTAGAGATTTGTTTTCAACTGAAAAAATATATAACAATTAATTGTTCCAAGTTTAAATATTATAATATCTCTAAGAACCACTATAAATACATTGCACTCTTAACTTTAAATGATTTATAACATCCTAAGAAATACCTCAGTGTTTGGGTGGTTTAGCTTCAAACTCTCGCATGCAAAAGGATTTAAATCAACAGCCCAACGCTGTATGTAACTGACAACATGTTAAAATCAAACATGGAGTAAACACGCAAGGAACAACTAAATTGATGTGATTAAACTCACAGTTTGAAGATTAAGGCCTGATAGCTGTGCCCCATGACACAATCCTGTCGACATTGCACCACAACCAGAGTACAAATCAAGCAATGAAACTTCAGAATCAGGTTCTGCTCTGTTCTTTGACAGATCAGTGTCACTCTCTGAAGAGAGTGATGATGGTGTCTCAATTCCACCCTTCCCTTCTTCTGAACAGATCAGGATAAGGAGAAAAGTTAGACATCCAAACTTTATTCATAGCAATGAAAATAAAAGGAGAAGGACAGAATAACCAAATGGCATTACCTAAAGAAAGATTCGCAAATGTAGAAAATTTAGGTGAGTATGACATATCATAATACAAGTCACATGGAGGCTTGCTCTCACTCTTAGATGAATAATCAATCTAGGAAACAAAACCACAATTAAATAGAAAATTAACAATAAGAAAAATACTACGATGCTTATATTTGTCTATATAAGAGAAGAAAGCGCTAAAAAGATTACAAAAGTTTGAAGTAACCTGAACTATCTGAACCTTCGATACAATGCAATCCAGAATATTGTCATCTGTCTCCGTTGATAGAAATACTCGTTGAACATCATGAGAAAGTGTTTGCTTTTGAATAACCTTAAAAGCATCATAAATCATATAAGAATCCAAACACTTTATAACAGTCAAATAAAAATATATGATACTTACAGTGTCTTTAGTGCGAAAAAACCACTGACAAGTGAAATATAATTGATTATCATGAGCTTTGAAGAACTCTATGATGCGACCGATATAATCATCTTCCCCTTCTCCAGCCTAAAGGAATAAGTTCTGACTATGTCAAAAAATCTATAAAAGCATAGAAATATGATTCTTGGATAACCTAGTAGTAATGCAGTATAAATAAGAAAGTTGAGACTTGCAATTATTTTCCAATAAACAACCTAAAATCAGTGGAAACATGAGTTACATATTAACAATCTGATATGTAGTGGTTAGCTTCAACAATTGAATCATAATATATTCATGAAAAATATCAACTTTGCTAATTGTCAACCATAAGACAGATAAAGGAAAGTTTTGTTTCATAGTAAGAAAAAAGGGAAATGAGAAGCGCAACGATTTGAACAGAATACTATTGGCTGATTCCTCCGCAGGAAGCTGAAACAAATATTTAGTTCTAACTAGTAGTGAAAGGAAACTTAATATATTTGAAATCCATTTTGCATCCAAAACCATTTAAATGTGTGAGCACTAACAGTCAGTGGCCAATGTAATTCAGGAAAAAAAATTACGCTAAATGGAGTGGACTCGGGTACTTATAACGGCTTCTCTTTTTTAATATCCACTACGCTCATGAACGTTAAGTTGTTCATATAATAGATATATATAGTTAACATTGTCTTAAAAATCAGTCTGTGTGCCCACCTAGCCTAAGCTCGCTCCTTAATTTTTGAGAGGGCCTAGGCGAACTTTGACAGCTAACATGTACTCACCATGTCAAAAGGTGGTATTGCCTGCTTAAGCATAACAAGCAAAGAGAAAGGATCAAGCAAAATTGGATTAGATCAGAACTCGATCCAAACCAGAATATAACGGTGATTGTAGACTTTTGGATCTTCAAAAAAAAATCATTCCCCTATTAGTGCTACAAAACAACTATGTGGCACTTGGGCGCCATGCCTTGCGCCTAAAAGCATCTAGCGCTTTCTAAAACATTGGTAGTCAATATATAAGTGATTCATACTTTGAAAAGTAACTAGTTATCACCCTTGCAATCAGCCAAATTTAGCGTTAAAATATTGTTATACGCATCTATCCATATGTATATCTATCTATACCAGTTGTATACATTTTACTCAAGTAAATCCTAGTTGCACATGTGGCATCTTCTTGGAGCTTTGGCTCTCCATGTGGCATCTTCTTGGAGCTTTGGCTCTCCATGTTCAAATAATTAGTGAAATAGCGGATAGCGTCGCGTAGCAGTGAGACATTGTTAAGGCTATTTGGAGCTATTGCGGCAAAATAGCGGTAAAAAGCGTAAAATCAAATAGCGGTCTAATTTATATATGTACAAAATAATAAGAAAAATTAAAAAATCTAAAAAATTTAAAAGTACATATCTGATGACTTAAAGAGATCCTAAACATGAAATAGACATGTAACTGTCACATAATACGAAAAACGACCAGAGGAGTCAAAGAGTCGTCGTACTCAAGAAGATGAGCTGAGCGGTGAGAGGACTGCAGTAGAAGGGTTCATAACTAGAGGAGGTGAGAGGAAGTGTTGAAGGAGGTGTCGGGCGGGAATATACCGGAAATCGCGGGGGCGGTGGCATGTAGCGGTTGCGGGTCGGATTTAATTTTAAAAAATAAACATCAAACCGCTTTTAAATAGCGGCCAGAAAGCGGATTTTGTCCACATTCGTCGCTATTAGCCGCTTTTGCAAGCAGAAAGCACATATTCTATAACATGTCACCGCTATTAAGCGATAGCGTAACAGGAAGGGACCGCTAACGCTTATTAGTGGCGCTATTTATAACAATGTGTTTTACCTATCATTTATTTTTCTCTTTATTTCTCCAGTATGTCTCGTAGTCCAGTAACTCTTAGAGAGTGAGAGATGGGTCTTCTCTCAAACAGTGGAAAGATAAAAGATAAGATATCTTCTCTCAAACAGAGTGTTAGTTTCGATAAAATATGTACCAAGAAAAAATGATGAGCACCAAATGAAGATGAGTTTAATTTATCAAAAGATAGATAATTATATTGGAAATAAGAAATATTTTATTAATAGGAAAAAGAAAATAAATATTTAATCAAAGAGAATATGAAAAGTTGCATTAAATGTAGCTGTCACTCATCACAATTCTATACATAGTATACTTTAGTATACTATACATAAAATATACTATATACTCCTTGAAACTTGTTTGTATACATCAATTCTGATGAGTTTACATAAAACTTTTTGCTGACTTTTTCCTATTATTTAATCATTCTAGCAAGTCCTGACATTATACGTTTCAAACTCGAATATCGAGATCCAAAATATCTGTTCATTTTACCTACTGCTCTAGTAAACTATCAAGTGATAGAAATATCCTTATAAACATCTACACAAAGCAAGACGAGCATTAAAATTAGGAAGATTTCTCAGGGTTTTACTTCTAGCGAGGATTAGGTAACTTTTACTGAGGATTAGATAATTCAATCATGACTGAATAAGTTATTTGGTATGTTTTGCTTGGATGCGTTATTTGATGTCATATGTGAGTAATGATTTTAATTTTTATTACAACCTTGTTTCACTACTATAAATATTATTGTACTTCATTTTAGGGAGGAGAGACGAATGATGAATGCTCAGTTCACATGATATACCTTGCATGTGAGTTGCAATATGTATTATTTTGCCTGTGAGTTGCGTGGCATTCGAATTGCATGGTGTAAGTCCCAACATATGTACACTTCCTTATTAAATAATAAGTGCAATTTTAACATTTTTATCTTTTGTTACATTTTTATTTATATCCAAATAATTCCCATCAACAAACTGGATGTACATGAGCTATTAACTTTTTCTAAGATACAATATATTCAAAGATAAATAAGTCCTAAGATCAACACATGAAAACATAAAAAAAAATCATACATGATACATGTTTCCAAATTGAGAATGGCAGATAAGATTGTACTCCTAGAAATATGAAAAGCATATTTTTTTTATTCACAATTTATTAAAAAAAGAATACTACGTCATCCAAATCAGAATATAATAAATAAGAGAAACAACTCACAGTAAAGAAAAAAAAAACCTTATAATATTGCAAGTTAGAAGATACTCACTTTTACGTAAGCATTGTCATAAAGGTCATAAACATGGCCATCAACTTTTGCTTTAAGGTAATGACATTTTGCTTTTATCACATCATAATCAACCCCTCTAGAAAAACAATAGACACAGTGAATAAGAAAACAAATAAATGGATAGATATAATGGAAATGCATTAAGCAAAATTCAAAACATGGAGTGCAACAATAAGCTAAAAATTTTAGAAAACTTACATTTTCATCATTGTGTCTTGTTTCCCTGCATTCTAAAGAATAAATAACAAAAAAAATAACATGAGCAAGTGATCAGACAAATTAAAATGAATGGAAGTCTTCTCAATTAGTTATTATAATCCATAAAATTTTATTGGACATATAATCTTACATTATAAGAAAAATATAGAAAATTTGTGGTCCTATTAAAATTGTGCTTTAAAGAGCCACAACACAGAATAATGATTTTATCAGGGGGGAAAAGATTTGTTAATGTTAAACAATAAAAATGTTGGAGTATAAAAATAAAACCCTCTACCCTCATTATAACTTTGGAGTTTGGGTGTAGTAGCAGGGTGCTTTGACATTGTCGAAAAGCAACCCAAGTTCGACTCTTACTTGCCATGAATTTCTAAAACATTAAAAGAGATATTGCTCTTGTTGGTCATAAAAGGGCTCTCAGCCTACGATGGCACTAAGAGTTTAAAATTATAACCATCCCCCAATGAGAACATCAATGTTTTTGTGTAGTGGAAAGGATTTTTGACAAAGAATTATTGCCTTCAGCCCCCCAAAAAAATGTCCATTGCAGTGATATAAATATCATTTGTAAATTGTTGCAGATATTACATAATTATGATAAAAAAAACCAATATCACAAGGACAAATGCCAAATAATCACACAAAAGAATCAACAAACAGAAGGAGTTTACATGGTTCAGAGTAAAACTTACGTTCATGGGCAGCAATAGATAATTCGTTACTAAACAAACAAGAGATTACAGATAATAAAAATATTGATGAACTCCAAAGTCTAGACTTTTTCTAAGACACGATCTACAACTTTCCTCTTTTATTTCTATTTTCTTACGCATTGGGTCTAATTGAACTAGTGTTATCAATGCATGAGGCGCAATGTGGGGCGCAAAATTCCTTTATCCACATATGTGCAAGGTGCAATATGATGTGCATGCCCGAATGATGAGAGATGCGTATTGCATATATAATTTTTCATAATGCTAACACACCCAACATAGTAACGAGGTTCATAATTTTCCAAATCAAAGGTCAAATCAAGACTAATATCGAAGCAAAATCAAGTAGTAAACGAGAAAGGGTTAGGGTCCTCAATCGGGATACTAAAAAGGCCTAATAGGTGTAACTTTCTTGTTGGGGTATGGGTTATCAGTTATAAGTACCTGATTGAAATATACAAGGCATATCTTGCATGTGCCCTTTGCGAAGTGCTCTCATGGAGGTTGAGATACAAAAAGGCGCTATTGAATCAAATGTGGGGCGCTTCGCCACTGCTAAGCATCGTAGGGTGAAATCAGGTGTGCATCTTTGATAACACTAGATGGAACAACTACTTTTACAAAGTTATCTCTGAATAGGAAGAAACCCTCAATAAACACTAACCTAATAGGATTCTACCAGATTTGGAAACAATTTACACAATCAACCCTAGGGCCAAATGGTCGAGCACCCGAGACAAAGAGCTCAGTTGATGGCCACACTTGCAGGTATAGCACCCCAGTACTCGGACTGTCGATGATTGAACACACTAAAGGTGTCCCCAAGAGGGTTCTAGAAATACTTTAACAAAACCATTTAAAGTGAAAACAAGTTAAGTTGGCATTTTTATAAAATAAGAAGTTACATGTTGTATCATTGATTTCATCCAAAAGGTGTAGACTTTGTTGAGCTAATATGAGGTGACGCTTCCCGTGCAAATAATTTTTGGTTTGAAACCAAAAAGAGAAAAATAAGACCTTGTCCCACTAAGTAAGGATCAGTGTTATCAAGGCGCGTGCCTCGGGCGCGTCCCGAGTGTGAGGCAATGCGGGTTGTGGCAATTGCGTCCCGCACCAGAGGCGGGACGTTGCACTCACACGAGGCGCGCGCCTCGTGTGCGCCTCGCTCGCGCCTCATGTGCGCTTGACACTTGCATCATGTAATAGGCTCTTTCTTCTATTTTTTTAAAAATAATTTACATATTACATATTTACCTCATGTAATAGACTCTTTCTTGCTAGTTGTTAATCCATTCTCTATCTTTTCATGTTTAACCTATAAAAAGGAATTAGTAATTTAGTATACTTGTTTGCTAACAATAACTTTCTTTTTTAATTAGCATGCTAACTAGAAATTATGAATATGTATATATGTAATTATTATCTTCATTCTCCATCTTTTCATACTAACTAGCAAATAGCAATTAAGAATGCTAACTAAAAAATTATGAACAATCATATTTGTTAATTATTTAATTGTTACTTAAAAATACATATATTAATTTTAAATGAAAATATATATTTCTTATTTGTTACTTGCTTTTTGCTTGTTTTGTTTCATAGACTTTTGCTTATGTTGGAGATTATCCCGCATTGTCATTTGTGAAAACTTATAAAGTTTTTTATGTTATGCATGCTAATTAAAACTCTTTCGTGATTTAGTATGTGAAATTATGTTTCTTAGTTTTTTTTAATGTTACAATTTATAAACATGTTGCTTATATGCTTTTGTCTAATATTGGAAAATGTTAGTTTGAGTTATGTGTCTCAATTCAGTGAGGCTTGCGCATCATTGTGCGCCTTGCGCATGGTGTGCATAAAGGGCCTTTGTGCCCTGCATTGTGCCTCGTGCCTCGATAACACTGGTAAGAATTGTTTTATATGGTTAAGATTACAACAGCAATAGCAAATAGCAAAAGGACATCAAATTATTATAGTTGTTACTTTTTTTGGCATGAAATGTTAGCTTTTGCATTGCCAAGTAAAGAGATGAAGTACAAATTCAATCAATGTGCAAAAGTAAATGACAGATGCATGTCACTTAAAATAAAAAGAGAAACTATACAATATCCATGTACACTTGCAACAGTTCAAAGACGAAAAACCCATCTAGTAGCTATGACCTCAAAACTGGAAACCTTATCCAGCTACTTGGGGTCAATATTAAACCGTGCACATCATCTCCTATTATCAGCAGTGTCCACCATTTTATCCACTCTGCTTAGCTGTGTTTTCAAGAAGAAAATAGCCCATATATCTTTGTGCATCAGGTTGAAGATTATTAAAAATGACTCCATTCCTCATTTGTCATACCACATATATGTTAGCACCCAGAGTAGCCCTTTTGACCTTGCTAATAATATTATAATTATTACTTGTTAATAAAATTATTCTTGAATTTTAGTCTGAAAAAATAAACTAAATTTTGAACTCATTTAGAGTCGCGTTAGCTATTTTGTCAATCTCTACTACCCTTCTTTGTTTAAACATTCATGAAATAAAACTCACTTTTGTAAATGAGGCAATGAAGAAATTCCCTTTCCTTTTTCATTTTTCCCATTTGGCTTTTCACAAAGTATGCTCCTATTTTGTCAATCTCTACTACCCTTCTTTGTTTAAACATTCATGAAATAAAACTCACTTTTGTAAATGAGGCAATGAAGAAATTCCCTTTCCTTTTTCATTTTTCCCATTTGGCTTTTCACAAAGTATGCTCTTGCTCTAAATTGTTTTTCACTAGAGCGAACGCTCAGGAAAAAGAGGTCTTCCCAAATTTCCATATCAAAATCAGCCAAGAAATTATTGACAAACTATTTATATAGAAATAGCAGTCAACTATTAGCATGCTTTACTATATCTACCAGATTTTGAGTTATAATAATATAAAACTAATTTATAATAACTCTCAGCTTTGCTAAAAGATTTGTTCAAAAACTTAGTTCAGTGTGATGGGCAAATGGAATTTTCCATTGAATACTTGGTCTGTGCTGCTATGGTCCCTAGTAATTAATTATTAAATGTTTTTAGAAACAACACACAAAAGCCGAAGTATTTGGACAAAAGTTAAACTCCTCTTATGCTCATGCTAACCATCCCTATTTCTAAACCCCAAACTCTACCATAAAAATAAGGATTTCTTATTCAGAACCACCACAAAATACAGTGGCTTTTCAGAAAAACACCACAAATTTCCACTTTGCATAAAATCGCCATGAAAATATGCATTGTTAACAAAGTGCCACAAGTCGTAGTTTACATTCATATTCCTTTATATAAGAGTATAAAGTGACATAAACGCCCATTATGACCAAACTTTGGTGGTGTAACGTATGGGGTGTTTCAAGGGAATTAAATTTTTTTTAGAGGATTAACTCTTAGTGTTGGAGGGAAGTAAGATGTTTTGTTGGGATGATAAAATATAATATAAGATTGGCAGGTGCCACTGTGAGGGTAGTTTAGGGACTTAGCATGCTATTTAATAGAATATGAATGAAAATTATGATATGGTGGAACCTTGTTAAGAGTGCATATGTTCATGGTAGTTTTACAACAACTAAAAATTTTGCGGCGTAATGCAATCAGAAAACAACAGAAAGCGTAAATAATAAAGCAGCAACAAGTTTCTAAAAAGATAAAAGAAAAAAATCCAAGACGACCTAGGCGGTCTGTGTGCGTGCGCACATGCATGTAAATAGATTGTATTAAATTATAGAAAGTCACAGATCCAAATGCATGTTACAATCTTTATTCCAAAAGATATAAAGAAACATAAAAAGGTATTATATATAAATTCCTTCTATTAAGAGCTTTAAGATCTATTCTCTATAGGAATGCTTGTTGAAATTGAGTTTATACTGTTAATTTAACGTGAATTGCATATAACACCCCTCTCCCATACATTTAGTAGCACTTATCACCCCTCAATTCATTTATTAGCACTGTCATCATCTGATTCATAAGGGAGGGGGTTATCTAAAATCCATCCTTCTCTCAAAATGTCTAGTAATGATAAACAGCTACTAAAATAGTCAGAGGTGACTGAATGCTACTAAAGCTATAAATGAAGTGCTCGTCAGCAGCTTCCCTTCCAGCTATAAATGAAGGGGTAATCAGAAATTTCCCTTTCATTTAGTACTCTCCCTCAACTCTCCGGAAAAATCACTCCTTGCATCCAAAAGTTGAGAACTTTTACCGAATACCGATGTAGCCATCGTCTCCGAGCTTCCTCCGTGTCAACCGGCTCACCAACGAAGCAGCAGTCATCATCGCCATCTTTCTTCATACTGACGCATATCCTCTTCTTCGGAGCGATTTCAGCACTCATCTTCTCAGCTTCCACTTGCTCGACCCCCTCCTCCTCTTCCCCTTCCTCCAAATCTTCAATTTCTTCTTCAACTGCATCAGAAACATCAAGAGCCACTAGATCGGGCTGATTCTTCCTCAGATTTCTCGATTTCTTCGAGATTTTGAGTTCTTCTTCGGCTGGATCTGAGTTCTTTTTCCGCTGAGCTCGAGCCCTCGAGATCTCCGACTCGCTCCCGATCTCTGCGCTCTTGCGCTTCATTTTGGCTGATCTACGGCGTCTCAACCGAGGGTAGTGAGAGGGGGGGTAGAAGAGGGGTACTGAAGGGGAAGCTAGGGTTTGGAGAGGAAAATTGAGGAGGAGGGGTCTAGGGTTTTTAATCTAGTTGCTGTAACTGGAGCGAAAGGGCGCGATGATTTTGATTTTGAATTTGGGTTGAAAATTACAGGCCGGGTTCGGGTTGGAATATCGTTCATTTGGGCATCACGCATGGCAGGCAATCAGCCCATTAGTAAATAGGCCCACCTTGGATGAGAAGAAAATATAGTAACGACTCATTTACTACATGCGAATGAGTGGCTAGAATATCCAGTCTTACATCTCCTTCCTTCCCACGTTTTATGGAATATCCTTCTCTTTCATTTCCTATATTTTATGGGAATGAGCATTCTTAATGAGATCGTAAGAAATGAGCATTCATACTTAAGCAAGAAGGATAAAATTAAAATACATGTGAACGTTAATAGAGAAGAAGGGAAAACGACTGGGGTTTTTTTAGGGGACTCCAGTAATGGATACGGGGTTTTTGTTTCTGTGTTGTGCTTTCTCCAAGAGAACACCTCCACTATATATAGATGCCAAACTTATCATCTCTACCCCCTCAACAAACTGCCTCTGAGAGATTTTCTCTCAACAAACCCCACTTCCCCATTATTCTCTCAACTGAGAATAGTTGATTTGGTCACACAATACCGAGTCAAGATAACATCTCCCACTTGACCAAATTAACCAAGTGGCGTACCTCCCACTATCCGTGAGATTATTGCTCTAAATTGTTTTTCACTAGAGCGAACGCTCAGGAAAAAGAGGTCTTCCCAAATTTCCATATCAAAATCAGCCAAGAAATTATTGACAAACTATTTATATAGAAATAGCAGTCAACTATTAGCATGCTTTACTATATCTACCAGATTTTGAGTTATAATAATATAAAACTAATTTATAATAACTCTCAGCTTTGCTAAAAGATTTGTTCAAAAACTTAGTTCAGTGTGATGGGCAAATGGAATTTTCCATTGAATACTTGGTCTGTGCTGCTATGGTCCCTAGTAATTAATTATTAAATGTTTTTAGAAACAACACACAAAAGCCGAAGTATTTGGACAAAAGTTAAACTCCTCTTATGCTCATGCTAACCATCCCTATTTCTAAACCCCAAACTCTACCATAAAAATAAGGATTTCTTATTCAGAACCACCACAAAATACAGTGGCTTTTCAGAAAAACACCACAAATTTCCACTTTGCATAAAATCGCCATGAAAATATGCATTGTTAACAAAGTGCCACAAGTCGTAGTTTACATTCATATTCCTTTATATAAGAGTATAAAGTGACATAAACGCCCATTATGACCAAACTTTGGTGGTGTAACGTATGGGGTGTTTCAAGGGAATTAAATTTTTTTTAGAGGATTAACTCTTAGTGTTGGAGGGAAGTAAGATGTTTTGTTGGGATGATAAAATATAATATAAGATTGGCAGGTGCCACTGTGAGGGTAGTTTAGGGACTTAGCATGCTATTTAATAGAATATGAATGAAAATTATGATATGGTGGAACCTTGTTAAGAGTGCATATGTTCATGGTAGTTTTACAACAACTAAAAATTTTGCGGCGTAATGCAATCAGAAAACAACAGAAAGCGTAAATAATAAAGCAGCAACAAGTTTCTAAAAAGATAAAAGAAAAAAATCCAAGACGACCTAGGCGGTCTGTGTGCGTGCGCACATGCATGTAAATAGATTGTATTAAATTATAGAAAGTCACAGATCCAAATGCATGTTACAATCTTTATTCCAAAAGATATAAAGAAACATAAAAAGGTATTATATATAAATTCCTTCTATTAAGAGCTTTAAGATCTATTCTCTATAGGAATGCTTGTTGAAATTGAGTTTATACTGTTAATTTAACGTGAATTGCATATAACACCCCTCTCCCATACATTTAGTAGCACTTATCACCCCTCAATTCATTTATTAGCACTGTCATCATCTGATTCATAAGGGAGGGGGTTATCTAAAATCCATCCTTCTCTCAAAATGTCTAGTAATGATAAACAGCTACTAAAATAGTCAGAGGTGACTGAATGCTACTAAAGCTATAAATGAAGTGCTCGTCAGCAGCTTCCCTTCCAGCTATAAATGAAGGGGTAATCAGAAATTTCCCTTTCATTTAGTACTCTCCCTCAACTCTCCGGAAAAATCACTCCTTGCATCCAAAAGTTGAGAACTTTTACCGAATACCGATGTAGCCATCGTCTCCGAGCTTCCTCCGTGTCAACCGGCTCACCAACGAAGCAGCAGTCATCATCGCCATCTTTCTTCATACTGACGCATATCCTCTTCTTCGGAGCGATTTCAGCACTCATCTTCTCAGCTTCCACTTGCTCGACCCCCTCCTCCTCTTCCCCTTCCTCCAAATCTTCAATTTCTTCTTCAACTGCATCAGAAACATCAAGAGCCACTAGATCGGGCTGATTCTTCCTCAGATTTCTCGATTTCTTCGAGATTTTGAGTTCTTCTTCGGCTGGATCTGAGTTCTTTTTCCGCTGAGCTCGAGCCCTCGAGATCTCCGACTCGCTCCCGATCTCTGCGCTCTTGCGCTTCATTTTGGCTGATCTACGGCGTCTCAACCGAGGGTAGTGAGAGGGGGGGTAGAAGAGGGGTACTGAAGGGGAAGCTAGGGTTTGGAGAGGAAAATTGAGGAGGAGGGGTCTAGGGTTTTTAATCTAGTTGCTGTAACTGGAGCGAAAGGGCGCGATGATTTTGATTTTGAATTTGGGTTGAAAATTACAGGCCGGGTTCGGGTTGGAATATCGTTCATTTGGGCATCACGCATGGCAGGCAATCAGCCCATTAGTAAATAGGCCCACCTTGGATGAGAAGAAAATATAGTAACGACTCATTTACTACATGCGAATGAGTGGCTAGAATATCCAGTCTTACATCTCCTTCCTTCCCACGTTTTATGGAATATCCTTCTCTTTCATTTCCTATATTTTATGGGAATGAGCATTCTTAATGAGATCGTAAGAAATGAGCATTCATACTTAAGCAAGAAGGATAAAATTAAAATACATGTGAACGTTAATAGAGAAGAAGGGAAAACGACTGGGGTTTTTTTAGGGGACTCCAGTAATGGATACGGGGTTTTTGTTTCTGTGTTGTGCTTTCTCCAAGAGAACACCTCCACTATATATAGATGCCAAACTTATCATCTCTACCCCCTCAACAAACTGCCTCTGAGAGATTTTCTCTCAACAAACCCCACTTCCCCATTATTCTCTCAACTGAGAATAGTTGATTTGGTCACACAATACCGAGTCAAGATAACATCTCCCACTTGACCAAATTAACCAAGTGGCGTACCTCCCACTATCCGTGAGATCAGATGTTTCTTCTTACCGTTACTCCCACTATTCATAGAGAGTAACTCTTATTTCATTATTCATGAAATTTTACTTAGACTTATTTATTCCTAAGTCTCATCAAACTTACATGTTTGATAAAATATTCTGCTGGTATTCCTTTTGTCAAATGATCAACAATCATATTTGTAGTAGGGATATAAGTCACTTTAACTTCTCTCTTTTCTATAATATCTCGAATATGGTGATACTAGATCTCAATATGCTTTCCTTTAGAGCTATTCACACCATTATTGATCAAGTTAATCGATGCTTGATCAGCACAATAAATATCAATATGTCCTTCTAATAAATTAAGATCTAGATCAATCAAAAAACGTCTTATCCAGACAGCATGTGTAGTTGTCATACTGCAAGCTATATATTCAGCTTATTGTGTATATCTAGCAACACACTCTTATTTCTTGCTACTCTAATAAACAATTCCTCCTCCAAAGATGAACAAGTGTTCCGAAGTGGACTTTCCATCATCTTTATCACCTCCAAAATCAGCATCAGAATAACCGAAGAGATCAAGCGAATCAGCTTGATAAACCAATCTATGAGTCAATGTACCTATGATATACTTCATAATTTTGTTAACCGCTTCCCAAAGTGTTGGTCATGGATTACTTTGTTGGATAGCAGTATTCCTAATTATTAGGATTCCTAATCTATTTTGGTAACATGAGGTTATTAAGATTCCTAATTTATTTTGTTTTTGGTTTTAGGATTCCTAATCTGTTTTGGTTTTAGTTTTTCTATATATATGGAGATTAGAATCAATCATAAAGAGAGAGGAGAGTTGTAATCAAAGATTAGAGAGACTTTTGAGCAGTGTGAGAGGGAGATATTGTAAGCAAGTTGAGAGCTTTGGTTGAGGGTTAGTTTGTGAGTTTTGTGAGATTGTAACCATTTGTACTCTCCTTGATTTAGTGGAATCTCCCCATCATTTCCTCGTGGACGTAGGTAATTTGCCGAACCACGTAAAATTAGTTGTCTCGCTATTTGTGTGATTTGTAATAGTTTATTTAGGTTCCCTCGACAAGCGTAAAATTAGTTGTCTCGCTATTTGTGTGATTTGTAATAGTTTATTTAGGTTCCCTCGACAAGTCAGTTCTAGAACTGATGAGAGGAAGAGCTGATATAATAGTTTATTTAGGTTCCCTCGACAAGTCAGTTCTAGAACTGATGAGAGGAAGAGCTGATATCCCACGTTATTGAGATATTTTACTTAAGGTTCTTGTTTCTTTTGTGGAACGAGAATTCCTATTACGATCTGACTCTCTTGTTGTGCTGCCGAAGTGCTGCCAAAATTTTTGTTGCACGCAACAAGTGGTATCAAAGCCCAGATTTTAGATCTAGTGTTTTAGAATTAGATGGAGGAAGATTCTTGTGTGAAGCTTGTTCTTAGAGTTCTACGCTTCGGTGGATATAGCATTAGGAGTTTCCGTTAGAGATTCCGCTTTCCTCGTATGGACAGAAGATCTATTTGGAATATGATCTAAGGTTCAATTGGGTAATTCTTAATTTCTATCAAAGTTTGATTTTTTCTCTACAACTTGGAGTTAGTTTGCAATGGAAGAAAAAGGTGCAAGCAACAAGTCGATAGCGAGTACAATTCAAGTTGGTTTTCAGAACATCAAAATTAGTGTGGTGAAGTATGATGGTAAAATCAACTTTGGTTTGTGGATGAGCGATGTCCACGATGCACTCAATGCTCAAAACTTGGAGGAGACCATCATGGTCCATGAGAGACCACCAAAATATAAAGAGGCGATATGGGAAAAGATGAATAGGAATGCTTGTGGGGTGATCAGGTCTTGTTTGGAATAGGAGCTGAAGTATGATGTGGTTGGGGTGACGTCTGCAATGAAGATGTGGAAAATTCTCAATAATTAATAAGTACCTTACGAAGAGTGTTGAGAATCAGTTGTACTTGCTACGTAGGTTATTCAGATTTTAGATGTCCAGAGGCACCTCGCTTGCGGCTCATGTGAACAACTATATGAAGTTGTTGTCAGACTTGGCGAATGTTGATGAGAAGATTTTGAATGAGTACAATGTTATTATCTTATTGGGTTCCTTACCGGATGAGGAGTATGATACATTTATGCTCACTTTGTTGAACGGAAGATCTTCTATCAGCTATAGTAAAGTTACTAATGCATTGACGAATTATGATTTGTGGAGGAAGGATAATGAGACTTCACGCGCTAGTACTTCAGGAGAGGCCTTGTCGACGAGAGGTAGAAGCCAATATCCTAAAGGTGGTAATAGAGGGAGGTCAAAGTCAAGAAACCGCCACCAATTAGCAAAGATGCAGCTGTTCGAGTTTGAAGATACGTCGGATTTGTGGAGACTCGTCGTGGGGTGGGCCTCAATAACAGAAAACACAGAGTTTAGTGGACCAATAAAGCTATGAACAGGTCTAGGCTCAGATTGCTAGCTAGCTATGAACAAATCTAGGTTCTGATTGATATGAACAGTATATGTTCTAATATGAAATAGACCAATAAAACTATGAACAACTGTAGGTTCTGATTGCTAGCTGGCTATGAACCTAGAGACGATGGGTTTGTTGGATCATTTGAATAATAATGAAGAAGACTTTGTGATGGTGTTTGATAGGAGTGGGTCACGTAGGTAGGCGAACCAATTGTAGGCTTTCACTTTAAAGCTTGAAAAAGTAGGCTATGACACTGTACTTCATTTTGAATAAAGAAGTTGAAAAGGTACAGAGATGAGGGAAAAGAAATATTGTGCCCCTCAAATAACAGAGAAGGTGGTGCGAAATAGAGAAGAAGAAAAAAAGTGCTTTGATACCAGTGAACGTTAACAGAGAAGAAGGGGAAAACGATGGGTTTCTTTGAGGGGGCTCCGATAATGGGTAGGGGTTTTTTGTTTTTATGTTGTGTTTTCTCAAAAGAACACTCCACTACATATAGAGATCAAACTCATCATCTCTACCCGCTCAACAAACTGCTTCTGAGAGATATTCTCTCAACAAACCTCACTTCCCCACTATTCTCTCAACTGAGAATAGTTGATTTGGTCACATAAGACCGAGTCAAGATAACATATAAAATATTATCATATTATTTACTAATTACCCACGCCAAAAGTAAAAAGATTTTTATTCCTATTTTATTCTCTATTCACACACAAGTGTAAGAACAGAAATGAGCATGATAATCCCACATTTATTACATTCCATTCCTTTATTCATTTTATTCTCATTTACATATGATTCGTGTGTACCAAACCAAGCGTAAAGGGCTAAACTGCTAGATTGATATTTAAAATAGACCTAAAAAGTAACTTTGGTATTTAAAAACACTCTGTCATCTCTTTGGTATTTGAAGTGTATTAAAGTTGGAAAATAAGAATAAAAACTCATCAGCAATAAATTTTTTGGCTAGAAATTTCTATTACACCCCTGGTTTTTTAAGTAATTTTATTTTATGTCTCTAATGTTTTTTGGATCCAAAAAATTTGGGAACGGTCATGAGACATCAAACGTTGAAATTGTTTTTTCTAAATTTGTTACTTCCTTTATTTATTAATCTATGTTGGCACAGAGAAACAAACTAATAGGGTTAGTTTTAAAATTATCAACATAATCTGCAGTGTCTTCTTCCTCCTCCCCGCTTTTTAATCTCCCTCTTGATCATCGAGAAATAAATAACCAGACTCAAATGGTTTAGAAAGACACTGTTTCATTGCATACAAGATTTAGATTAGAATTTGGAGACTTCAAAATAGAGGAGAGCTTAGGTTTTGAGTTGGTCAAGTTGTAGCCGAAAGACGAAGCAAAACACAAGTAGAAGGGAATGAATCCATAAATGTTTGATATTCATATACGAAAACCTAAATCCTTTTTTTTACCGGAGCATTTTTTAATACCAAAGTGGTTTTTTGAGTCTATTTTAAATACCAATCTAGTAGTCTAGCCTATACTAAAGTGAGAGAGAGAAAGAGAGAGGAATCAGCTAAATTACCAAGTGGGTATTTTTTAATAGCTATTTACCATTTTGATGTTTTTAGTTATTTCGTCAATTTTTGGACATTAAGATGTTGCGCGCAGCGGAAATTTCGGCAGCACTTCGTCAGCACAACAAGAGAGTCAGGTCGCAATAAGAATTCTCGTCTCACCAAGGAAACAAGAATATGAAGCGAATATCTCAACAAAATGAGATATCGGCTCTTCCTCTCATTAGTTCTAAGACTGACCTGTCGAGGGATCCTAAAAAGCTATTACAAATCACACAAAAACAGTACAACTAATTTTTACGTGGTTCGGCAAATTGCCTACGTCCACGGGGAGAGGA